TCGTTAGCGACAAAACTAGTACATTTGTGTCTGTTTCGCTAAAGCTATGTCCAACGAGTGATTTTCTGACTACAACCGTATGAAAGACTCCATAAAACAGTGGAAACAATCAGAGGATTCCGGTTTCGTACAACTCAAAACAAAGGCCATCACCGAAAGCACTCGTTTGAAACAAGAGGCGATCGGGAGTAGCTGCTCTTGTACAAGTCCTACTACATAATTGACGCGATATAGACGTTACGTTCTAAAAACACAAACCTCATGCCTCAAGAACGAAACAGACAGACTTGAGTTTTTTTTTTATTTACTGCGTCGTGGTATGCAGACCGATTTTCCCTCTAGTACTAGCAATCTTTTTGAAGTTGTACGTTGTTACTACGGTATTTCACGATTGTTACTGCTAACGGCAGCTGTGGACTCGGCGGAGAACTTACTTGGCGACAAGTCAAACGATTTACCTGCAAGCATGAGCTATGCGTTTATTTCCGTTGCCATTGCTATTCTAGGATAAACATGGTCGTACTATTGAACACCTTCAGCTTTTACTTGTTGTTTTGTCAACATCTTGCGGAGCGCTTTCAACAATTAAGCACCACGCCACATGTAGATATTCATAGTTTCATGGTTTTCTTCCCCATTACAATTATATATTTTACAAGTTCGACTATAATTTTCACTTGAGCCAAGTCGAATTTGCGAAGGGCGTTCGATTGACAATTGCTTTCCTTTGTGTCGGGATCCTCCAACTCGAGGCTATGTACAGTTGTCAAAAGCTGCAAGATGGAGTTTCTTGTACCGCACCTATCACACTATTAAATAGCTCCTACACGCGATAGCTCATCCCACATGCCGTTTTATTCCCTAGCTAGCGTTCCGAGCAGAAAAACTATTTTATAGCTTGCTTTTGTAGTGATTCGTGCGGGCGAAGGTATATGGCCAGGCCAGTGATTCCCGTTGACGCTTAGATATATGTAGTACGTACGTCGTTCTTCATACCAGTAATACTTCCACATAGTGTATCCTTAACCATATTAAACATATTAACCATAGTGTATCCTTCACACTGTCAACCTAATTGAGGGTGGTCTATCTATGCAGAAGTCCCAGTCTGGTTCGAATCCCTCTTTCGGAACAACTGAGGTACGATACCGCAGGCCTGACCGGCAAAAGATTTAACCAATAGGTTGATTGTTCAACTCTCACGACATATCTACCTGATACGCTGTGATTTTCGTTTCCCTTGTCGACCTGAATGCTCGACGCTACTAAACCATAAAAACAATATAAATGAGATTTGATTTGTGTAGAATTAAGCTACCTATACTACATAACTCAACGATGATACGCGCCACTGACAGTCGTCACGAACACGTAAGACTCCTACAATTTAGTGACACTGCTCAGGTACTACGTACGACATTCGAAACGGTAGGCAATTTGACGTACGGTAGACAAAAAAACACAGCTAAAACGAGCGCTGTTTTGAACTGAACTGCGACGACAAGCGATACTTGTGAGTGTATTTTTAGGATTTTACAATCTAGTAAGTGGAAAACGAAGTCACTGTCTTGACTTTGAGGCTCTTTTCATAGCTGCATCTGCACGAAAGCATGACTGAAAATAAACAAAAGAAAATTTAAAAAAAAAGAAGAATAAGCCGATGGAAAAATAGCACTAACATTAAAGATTATTGCTTGAGCTTAAATGGTCATTTGTCGCAAACGTTAGCCGTGCCAACAAAGCACGCCCTTCCGATCACATGTTGAAAGTCGACGATACGAAAACAGCCTGGTGTGCCATTAACGATATTCAATACACAACAGGTGTACATGCCAACACAAAGGTTTTTGACAGAAAAAAAAATTCAATAAAAGCGCTTAAGTAGCACAATGATGAGTCTCGCATTGACTACGGCTTATACAAGAGTAACGCAGGGGGGTGAAAAGCGTCAAGCTATCGTAGGAGACGAGAGCCTGACTAATACGGATTACTATGAAGAAAACCGTTCGCAAGCGGTCTTCCAATGCTAGTAGTCATTTAGAGAATTTGGCTCGCTACGCGTGCTGTGTGCACAATGAAAATAATCGCAAATCAGAAAACCCGAATCAGATTTATGTTTTTTTTTTTCCTATAAAATGCCAAATGTTATATATGGAAAAGGAGCCGGTATATGCAGATCGACAACCGCCTCAGTTACACCCGTTAAAATGTATGTAGAGTGAATGCAACATATTTGTATCGTACACCGAATACCTTCGTTCGTTCTAGATTCGATGTTGACTTGTCCCCAGACCAAACAACACAGTCGTAAACATATCGTGCCTCGTAAAGCTTTTTTTCAATATGGACATGGCCTGTCGTTAGGCGTCTAGCCCTTCTTCGGCAGTCTGGGACGAGAAATCGATGTCATGGCGCAGAGGTCAGCAGCAGTGATGGTGCTATCAGTCAGATATATCGTGCTGATCATTTAACTTAGGTACTTCGTATTATTGTAAGTTTTGTACGCTGGTTACTTCGACAATGTTAAAAGCCAGTCGATCATCAAAAACTACTAAAGAAGAGTAAATGTGCCAGCCCGGAGTATACACATGCAAAGCTTTTCTTGAACGAGATATATATATATATATATAGCGGTCTGGGGGACGCTTAAAAAATGAAAGTCATCAATTCAAACATCTACGACATATGAATTGATCGCTGAAAGTCTTATACTACTTAATAAACCCATCTAAGTGATCACAGTAATCATTGTTGCAGCTATTGCACATCAGACAAGCTAATGCTATGGCATTATCGAATAGAAACGGTACTACGACATCTTCTCCAACGTCAACAGATGTGAATTGAGAACCTCGTCACTTTTAAAAGACTTGGCCTAGGCCGATAGGGTTATTGTAATGCCGTTGTCACAATCACTACATGGTTGTTGCCATAGGGTTTATATAGGCTAAAGAGTGTATTGCCTCAGCCTTATTTGACTGGGTACGATTTTTTTTTGTAGACTCGAGGTACTCCAACGTGATTTATCTTAATGATGATATCAAATTAAAATTAAGTAAGCGGCTGACATGATTTTATATGGCGGAAAAAATAGCCATTAATATTTCCTTAGCAGTGGTAAGTGTGAAGCGCTTTCTACAAACGTATACCGTTATTTTTTCATGCTGTCTATGACTGTCAGGGTTCACATATGTACCGTGGGGATTTTTCTCCTGTCCTAGTAAATAGCTTCAAAATAGATGCCATCGATGTTTCTGAGCTGTCGTCGAAATTATGTATAAAAGAATCGCTAGGGCACCGTATGGTGATGCGGTTATCTTTTTTGAACTCTTGATTGGGTTTATGATCTGCCAGCGTTCTTCTGCCCACAAAACTTTCCGTATTGTTTGTTGGACCAAATCTTTGCGATTTAATGAGAACATAAAGCCAAAGCTCCTCAGAACAATGCACGTTTTATAGAATCACTCCTCGAATGCTTCTTTTAGTATTCCAAGATCCATTCCAGGCTTTGTCGCAATTTTGGGAGATTATCAGCGTCGTTTTGCATTTATGCACAATAATTCTTTATAGGCGATAATCGACGTCCGGGACCTTGTACAAGTCAGGGTACATATGCTCGACTCCTAGATTTGAATTAACATCTCTAAATTTAACCAAAGATTTCAATCGATAAACCTTAGATTTTTATATACACACGCTTATTTTCTGCTGCCTTAGGATTACATTATACAGCCGAGTATAGCCATCAAGCTTTCTGTGAGAGACTTTCAAATGCGCCTTTCTGTTTATGACCACTCTGAATGATCCAGCCTTTGATGATCGCTTCGACCTTCTTACCGCCGCTTACCATATGATAGACTTAGTGTCTTCTAATGCAAATCTCGCAACGAATGGACCAAACAGCTTTCCTAAACGTGCCCACATTTGGAAATCAGCACCTATACCTGCACTTACTAACGAACGGTTTCTCATTTTGAATGGTTATATTTATTCTACCTGATTTGTCTAGCATAGGCCAACTTGTGCCCGTATTTTATGGGCCGTACCGGGAAACTATTCCGGAGCGCCCAGACAGTGCCTAAATGCTTCGCCAACACTTTCGCACGAAAGTATAAGAAATTAATCCAGATCCCTTCACTACAATTTTTACAGAACTGTGGGGTTTAGTGGTTATTATTAGTGGTTACCTTTTACAGCTGTAAGAGTTGTACGTGACCTTTCATACTTCGGAAGAAGTTCTTGAACCACTTAAATTGGCAATGCAAGTATTGAGGAACCAGTGTCTATCTCCATTTTGACAGTCCTCATTTCAATTTCAGGCTCAAGTGATGTAACGGACACTCTGTATCATTTCGTATTAATAATAAATGTGTCTTCGTTACTACTTTGGCGAGTATCTAGGCTTCTAATTTAGATAATGGCCATTGGCCGCTTTTGGGTTTACTTCTATGCCAGCAGAATGAGACAATCTGTTTTAGTTTGTTGTAACTTAAAGTTTACAGTCTATTTTTGTGTTCGGTAAGTTCGATAACGACGAGCTAATATTGAACTTGCCTACAACCTGGGAAAAACTTTTTAGTTTCTTTATTATCCCGTTTATCGCCTTATTTGATTAGGCTCTCTTCGTTGACTCGAGCAGAAACGAAAGCAAAATAGAGTCACAATCACCTCGCGATTTTTTCCTTTCGCGAAGTCTGTTACTCTTCGCTTCTTCGTAGGTAGACAGTTTTATAGCGCTTTAAATATCGAATCACTTTAAAACTTTAAACTTATTGATATCATACGTGAGTTGTTTAAAGTTGTGAAAGACAATATCGTCCCTGCTGGCGTATTTTCCGCTCGATTCATTGGGTCTGCGAGTAAAGACCACGATTTTTCTCCTTTTTCTTTGATGGAAGCTATATAGTACTCGATAGATTGATGTAAGCGTTATTAGTACCTAAAGGCGTTTTAATAATAAAATCAATACCGTTTCAATAGCGTCTTTATAGTCCCTGACCGCAAACGAGAAGTTTACAATATACCAGTGATAGTCAGGTTTGCTGATGTGCTTGCATTCTGTGCAAAAATTAACCGTTATCAGTGACGCTTCTATTGCTGAAAATAATTATCAAATCTGCCGAAAGAGCAATGCTGCGCGAGAGACATCCGACTCATTCATATGATTCGGATTATGAGCCCCTGTTCGTATCCGGCAGTCTTTTCTCTCTGACTGCCAAGTCACAGAACCACATAAACATCGTTGCATGTATAAAGATCGCATTATACTGTATTGAACAAAAGACATCACACATACGCTGTACAGTTAGCAGAAGGAAAGCAGGTTGCCTAGCAACTGGAAACAAACAAACAAACAAACAAACAAACGTTTGAAGATGGCTAGAGTCACAAGCTAGCCACCTCTTTATGTTTCAAATAGAAAATTGAGGGAATTAAGCATCTCTCATAAGAGAGAAAGTACATTATGATGTCGCTTTCTAAACGAATAATAATAATAATAATTTAGTAAAATATAAGATCTATAAGAATAATATAATAAAATATAAGATTAGAGTGCACATACGTTTGTAAGAGCCAAAAATTTACATTTTGTTGAACGGGTACCATTATCCTATTCTTCACACATCAGGCTTGATTACAGTCCATAGACTCGGTTAACGTATTAGGTATTTTAAGTTACCTTGAACCGCTTCTTTCAAGGATGAAACGACAATAACAAGTTCAATAAGTAGATAGGGCTTTGCATTTTCTTAAAAAAAAGTTACGTCAGTATCCTATCGGAGGGTTCAATACCTGTAACCAAGCTCGTTGAACGATAGATTAGTGATGCGACGTACTTGCCTACTAATCTTAGGAACACGTTGCGGTCTGGGTTCGGATCTGGGCATCGAATTCGTGCTAGACGCTTCTCTGATGAAATGCCTAACGGCAATGCCAGACGTAAAACGCGAAGCATGGAGGCGTGTTGTAAGAATCTCAGGTACATTAAAGACGTGTCCTGCATTCGATGATACGATTTACCAACGAATGTTGTGTTATTCCCTACCCTATCGACATACTGAATGCACTTTGTGGACTGGCTCTTCTACGACATTAAATGTCCCCTAATATCATATCTCCTAACAGTTCTCCGGATACATTTCCGATGCAAAAGCTTTCCGATAGCATGCCACTCTTCTCTCAAATTGACCGCCGGCTCATCTCTCGGGCCATAAGTCTGAATATCGAGCCAACGGTTATTGCGTTGTTTATCAGGAAGCCAAGTATGTGCCGCGCAGTATTCTAAGGAAAATGGGGTTTGTCAGTAAAGAGTATTGTCACGTTCCGTTATTGTATAGCGCTGCTGGTGCTGTCCAGTTGAACGTTCCGTAAGCCTGATCTTTGACTTCAATTTTAGATATAACGTCAGCGAAGAAAAGGTGTACGCTTTTAGGTTACACCCTCTTATTGATCTCTGTCTTTACACCTTCTACCATCGCCGCGCCTATTCCAAGGGTAGCAACAATTGTAATAGTTTCTGTGGTGTGCCACTTTATCAATTTCTCAGATCCCTTTTCTTCGATCGTTTTGGGGGGTCGGACGTTTCCTCTTCGTCTTATCTTCGTATCTCGTCTTCTTGCACGTCTCTTTCTTTCTAGCTGGTCAACTTGTTCGGGATGTTCTTCCAAAGCTTTTTCTCATACTAACACATTTAGAATAGTAGCGATCCTGCTGTCGTTCTTGCGTCACCTTTTGCTTTGCGTCAACGACGGCTATTTTACGGATATAACAGCTACATAACAGAAACTGGCACCAATCGCTGGCTCAACAGTGATCAGTTAGTGAAGCAATATTGTGATATTAGTCTTACCTGTACATATTTGCGCATTTCTAGTTTTTCTCGTCCAGTCTGTATTGGCATCCACAGTGGCTACTCCAAACGTCTCCTCTGTCGACTGGGCGACCGCTTTTGTTTGAAGGCGAGCGCAGCCGCAATGGCAGCAGTGTTGGGGTGACTAGATGTAGACGGGCGAAAACTATTCCGGACCCATCTTCTACAACCAGACCGGAACTCGGAGACTCGATAATGTATTCCTTCCTTGACGTCAACATTGGACGAAAGTAGCTCTAGAAAGCGCTATGCTGGAGGAACGCCGCGTCACGCTTTAATGATTCACCGGTGCAGTCGGCTATTTTTTTAGTGGGAAGAATCATAAGATTCTAGGGGCGTGCCCTGTGGATGCAGTGGTGCAGAAGAAACGCGTGACCTATACTCAATGGGAAACTCATACAACACACGGTGCACACACATAAGAATATTATTTGTTTACTACTTCAGCTGTTTGTAGGCTGTTATATTAAAAAAACAAGGAAAATTATCTCAGATAAAAGTACCGATAAATATGTGCCGGCTATAGCTGCCGCAGAGAGATGATGGCTATCGTTGCTTCTTTGTTACCTGTATTATTCCAACTGAGCCTGATGCTACTAGAAGGCCACGTCCGTATCTTGAACTAAACCGATGAACATATACACATAAGTGCATTAAAATAATATGACCATGAGAAGAACATATAAGACATTCACAAGCATATACCTATCATAAACGTGCAAGCTTGGTGTTTCGACTTCTACGTCCAGTGCTGCCATTAAGCATAGCTTCAGACGGTTGGCTTTTTTTGCTCGAAACGATGTGTGTCTACGTCCGATTTCGAACCTGGACCACCCACATGCCCTTGGATTTACTATACGAACATGATCCCACCGGACAATCATAAATATAAAAACGTATGAAGGCCTTCACATTAATCGGAAGAGAAAATTAGGCACCAACTCACTGTCGCTACCCAAACTTATCTACTTTTTTTAGATCATTTGGGGTAGCAAAAAAAGAACGGTCTGTTTAATTGTCTGCTTTCAGTCTTCACAACCCGATGAGCGCATTTTTCTAATAATCCGTTATGACATCGACCTCTCTTGATGAACACATCATTTGGCAGACGGCTTAAGACATGCGTAATACTAAATGATCGGTGTCGCCGTTGACTTGTTTGAATTTAACTTATACGGCCGTAACTTATGCTAACAATAATGTGCCCAAACCAATGTCGTGGTTTATACAATGAGCACTTGTTGATACAAGTAGCACTCTACACGCCTTAGAAACCTCGGGCTAAATATAGTTATGCTAAATGATCATTCCGTCAAATGATGAGGAACATTGTGTAAGTGAAGGGGTAATGACGTTCTAATAAATAGTTTCGCTTCACCGTGTGCATAGGCCCATTCCAATCATAGGACGGATAGCTTTTATACGACACGCGAATGTTAGTGTTTGTGAGATTGCATGTTTTTCTCAGTAAAACTCAGCTTCTGTTCGTGCTAGAAGGTCGAAAATAGGCAGGAACCAGAACATTTTAATCTAGAATAACCGTACCAACTATTCAGTTATTTAACCCGGTACACAGCACTACACTTCAGGCAGGTCATTTTTTTCCTAAGTTTTCTAGGATACAATAGCTCTGTTCTAGTATAATATACTAAATTAAATTAACCAGGTACAATGTGAAATCAGCCTAAAAGAGTTAGACATCCCTGACATAAAATACTGCCTGTAGGTACGTTTAAGAAAAACTAATATGCATACAGATGAGCCGTATCCCTGTCGCCGTGCTGTATTACCCTCAGTGACACTTCAATCAACCATAAGTAGGCAGGCCTAGGTGAGGTGTATTGAATATAATCCATTGTTTTTAGGCGCCAAAATGCCTCGACCACCATTTTCCAATCAAAGGTTCAGGTCGACCACAAATCGAAGCTTCTGCGAAGTTATAGCACTATTAATGCGAAACATGCTTACCGCTCGCTGGTGACTGTCCTGCGTGCATGATGTATAGGCGCATTGCCGCTGGTGACTGTCCTGCGTGCATGATGTATAGGCGCATTGCCCCTACATAAATGTAGTAGTTTACCTAAGGGGTCAATACAATTAAAAAATGGCTTACTGTTGTAGTTGTTCGCAGGCACTTAGTATTTCGTCCAAACGTTGGCCTTTGTATAGGAAAGGACACAGAAGGGCAAGCTTTGTGATTAGTTGTGGCTAGTGCCCAGATGCCTTTAAGAACGAACGAGTGATTCGTAATAATTTTATAAACATTCTCTTCATCTGTAAAGTCGCTTAATGTCGCACGGTAGAGTCGAGCTGAAGCCAACGTAGTTAGTCATAAAAATTCAATATGTTCAACTATTTCCATTGGTTTCTACATTGAAACCAATCTATACCGAAATAAAACAATGATACGCACTAATTAACCTTTAGACTTTTTTCAATACACATCTATAAAAATAAACTATATATTACATATCCAACAAGTGGCCAGTCCAATCTTCCATGTCTATCACCCCCCTCTGCTGCGGATAATCACTAGGTCTATCTAGAGGTTTCATAGTTGTTTCGCGTACATCCTTTAGGCTTATCTTTGCTTATCACTCCCTCATTATCTCTTTGCTTCTTGTAGCGCTTTTCATCACCCTTATAGGCTCTGTGCGATGCAGCCAAGCTTTTTATCTAATAGGAAAATGTAGCTGTTTTAGATTAAATCACAAACACACTCGAGCATAGTCGCTTCGTTATCTTTTCGCGAGATGAAGCACTTTGTTCAAGATTTCGGTCAGCCTGTTTATTTTTTTCTGGCCGTCTCTCGCGTTTCTCCACGCCGTCTTCCGGCAAGCTTCCGACGGAAGAAAGCTAAGGACATTGCACGGTTTTCGTCGTTACACCATTGAGAGTAGGATACCCTTCGTAATGCAGTCCAGCTTCCAGGCTTGCTTTCGCCCGCCGTCCTGCTTTCGTTGTTTGTCTTATTCGATGCTGTTACTGCCGGAAACGTTCATCCAAGCCTGAATCGTCCTTCAGCAGCAGCACCTGCCGCATCCTTCCTTGCTGTCCTAACTTGAAACGCTTGTCAAGGAGTTTTTTTCTCCTTCGTCTTGTCCTCTTCGCTTTTCTTCGTCTTATCGTACAGTGGCTAATGCGCTTTTTCTTCTCAGGGACCGAAGAGACACTTGCATGGCGCCAACATAGAAAAGACACATAACGACGTTGCCAAAGAGAATCATAAACACGTGTTGAGAAATGCAGATTGGTACCATCTGTTCCATTACGTCTGATTTTACAGTCTGCCACAACAGGTTTAGAGGTATGAAGTTCCTTTGTTACTCATTTAGGCCGCATGCGTACGCGTGACTATAGTCTAAAGCTCGAGATCTTTCAGCGGTGTCCTCGTTGTTATATGTCTTTTCTAGCTGGCTTTTTGTTTTACAATGTATTTGTAAGCAATCTTTATACCCAAAAGAAAGCGGCACTGTACTATGACTGGTACGACGGTAGCATGAAAAATTTTGCCCAAAATTATAACATCAGTGCGACCATGTCGTAGCCACTTAATAGTTAGCTTAATAAAAGTCGCCCGAAAAACCATTTGAAAGACCCTAAAGATAATAAATACAAGCAAAAACATGGAGAAACTGTATAGTTGCTAAAGATTACAGCCCCGAATGTCTCACCAGCATGAGTTAAGTTCCTCTCATCGTATATATAAAATTTAGCATTTGAAAACGTGTATATATACTACGGCATAAAGTCATAGAAGAACCTAGTTGGACTATTTTGCGCATTATTGTTTATGGCCCTACGTTGTTGTTATATAACTTCTCGACGACACTTACTTGTTGATTAGCCAAACAAGATAGTTCCAATAAGTAGAGTTAGCGCTCACCTCTCTCGAGGTTGCTGGCCTTGACCGGGCAGCTTTGTCAATATGTTTTATCGAACACTAAATAAAAATAATAAAAAAAAAAATACCACTTTAGAGAAAATGTCAATAAACTGGTTGGCTATAAAACTGCCAAATGAGGCAACCCGTAAGGGGCAGTTTACCACCCGTTAAAGAGTCCCATAGATTTTTTATAGCATCTTTCCCTACACGTTGGACCTCGTGCACGTTCATGCGCTACAGCCAACATGTATCAATGCTTGTCACGACGAGTGCCACAGAATGTGGACGCCAAACCCAGATAACGATACGCCAAACCCAGATAACGATACGCCAGCTATTTTTGTACATTTGAGCGATTACCTTGTTGTATATATTAGGCTAGGATCTGCTCGAATAGCGGCAACGATAGCCATAGTAATTTTTACGCGGCAATGAAGTCTTTCGTAGCAGCTCATCACAGCAGCATACGTTATATAGACCCAGGTTCTGTCTGTTATCGTCATTGGGTCCATACAAACGGTTTACCTACTTACGGTATACAGTTATTATTCATAGATATACGCTACTTGTTCGCAATTACTGGAAAACGACAATTTTAATGAAGATATAAGACTATATCATACGGAGCGTAACAAGAACAACAAACCAAATGTCAAATTTGTTTGTCGTTTTGAAGATAAGAAGCGGCATAAGTTCACATCGGTGCCATATAGGTCCCATAGATTGGGAAAAGAAGGGAGTTTAAGCGTGTACATTGTCGTCTTTTTGAAAGCTTTACATTGTTTCAAGACAGATTTTTGCATTTTCAGTTTATTTGGACGTGTTGGGCGTGAAAAACAAAGCCGTAATACAATGTCAAGTATATCATGTCAATAAACTGGTTGGCTATAAAAAAAAAGGTTGATATTAATAGAACGCTACCGTAAATGTCTTAATCTCAAATAGCCAATCGTTCTATAGACCTAATAGCATAAACAGAACGAGCGGATTGAGCGTCGTCCAGCACGAGATCGCATTGGTGTACATGTCCTCTATCCATGAGCAATATGGCATAGTACTAAACGTTGCAAGACACTGGACATTTGCGCTACGCGCGATCTAAATTAATGGATTAACGATAAGCCTATGTTCGGCAGCAAACTCTCAATCGGTTGTGCCATGACAACAGCTCAGAGGTAAGCGTATTGCTAAACAATCGCTATTCGAACGTTTGTTGGCACCGTAAACGACACTATCTTTCTGTTGATAATGTTTGTTTGTATTGCGACCGAAGGCAAATTTTTCCGGCAAATCGCGTCGATACTACGTAGCACAGTGCGTAAATAGTTTATTTGCAAAATTTACCTCTGTGTGTACATAGGCAAACAATGTTACCCTTAGCTTGACGAATGAATTTTTGCCCCCAAGTTCTTATTCCTGGCTCTATTTTTCTACTTGTCGTAGCACCATGTTCTCTTGGACCTTCAACCCCTCGTTTATATATTACCGTCAATCTAACGTTCTTCTTTACTTTTTGAACACTCATACCTCTCGACATACTGTGAGAAATGAATTTTTGTCTAGAATTTCACGTACCCCGCTTAAAGTTTGTCAAAACTCACTCATCATTTAGTTTCATTGTTTTAAGCGTTGTACGTTGTTCCATTCATTCCTGCCATATGTATTTGAAGCTTTCTGGTTCATTGATCTTCTTTTATACAAATCACGTTCTAGAGCGCGTTCTAGGGAGGAAATGATTATGACAAGCAACTGTGCCAGGGAGGATTGCCAACGCTACTGATTTCTTAATGGCCGCTTGCGCATAAACTGTTACATTGTTCAATATTGGAACGCCGCGAAATGCAACCTCTCCTAGGTACTTAAGCTAATCCTTTCTACTCATACACGTTCACCTGGTCTTGCTGGTCTAATTCACTTAACAAAATCACACAAACACGTGATATTTCAATCGAAAAAAACTTTTACAGAGGAAGATAACAGGAAAAGAAGCCGTGGGAACTTCTACTCATCATAGACTTTCGAAGTATCATGAATACTTTGAGAGACCCTCATGAAAAGTCTCGTCGCGAGCCGCGATCGTTCAACCCTTGAGAGATGTGCGAGTCCGTTCGTTGGTTGATGCATACAGCGCGTTGGCTAATTTTTCCCCTACCTGAGATATTTATTATTTTATTTGGCGTGCAGACCCAATTTCGGTTCCCAAAAGAGATTCCCTTACCTATTTTGCCACCAAAATGATCACTCGTTGTATTTGGAGGCTAGTACCTCGAATGAGCGCCCACTAGATGGTGGGATTGTTTACCCACTGTAGAGAAGCTAATTGTAAATGCTTGCTTGAAAGCAAGCTTCGTAACAATTCGAGCTGTCGCCTTGTTATTGTAGTTCTTTATCTAGTCAAGCAGATTATTTACAAACGTCCAACTAATCGTTAGAGCTCAAGCAAGCAAAAAGAAGTACGGTAGGTCAACTGGCAAACGTACGAAGTATTTACTATAATTACATAATAACAGGGCGTATTCCTATAAGCAATGATAACTGGAATAATTAACCTAACCATTGGGCTCATCGAAATGCAGTTGTTAGCTCCTTAAATAGGCCGTTTGATAATACTACTAAATACAATGCCAGCTTTCCTGCTGTACGGAATCTGTATGAGTAGTGGCTTTTTTGAAGCAGTCATTTTTTTCTACCTATATCAGACACAACGTCATCAAGGTAACCCATAGTATTATCATTAAATCAAGCGATACGTCTTGTACGCTTATTCCTACCGCGCTGAAGACAATCTAATCGATTGATCGTGCTAGATTTCGTGGTAACATGATTAAGGACGCTTACAGGCACCTTGACCTCGTAGCCCTTGGTGATGCGCCTTATCCAGAACTATGCGCACCTGGCTATAAAATAGATAATAATAATAAGCAGATATACAGGCAGAAAAGTCAGTGAAGACACTGTCGCCATTGTCAAGTTAGTGGATACGACAAAAGCATTGTTTCTTGTCGTAATAAGCGCCGGCCTACGTTGCAAACGGTTCTATAGACGTCGATGAGTTCTAGCTATTACCTTAGCTACCTTACTTCCGCCTATGTCCTTGCAAGCGTGGATCAAATGAAAAAAAAAACCCTATCGTTTGTTTTTTGCTGCAATAGTACATGAGCATTTGTCGTCGAGGACGCTGTGGTACGTTTGCCTTAAGCCCGACAGAGGAAGCGGAAGCTTTAAAGCAGAACTGTAGGCAATCCCTTCTCCTTCGGTGTGTGTATGAAAGAAACACTTTCCCTCTACAAGCAGCAGTTAAATAAATTAGGGTTTATTATAACTGCAATTGACTGTCCTAATAGGCGTAAAGGTTCAAAAAGAAATTAATCGCTTCCACTTAGGAACGAGACACTGTATATGCCCTTTTGCGAACCTTGCACACAAAATATTCTTGAATAGTCATATACGAAATTCCCAGTTCTTTGTAATAAAACAATAGAACCATCGTGGGAAGCTTTAGGCAAACAACAGCCAGCAATGCAATTCCAAACAGCGGCTGAACTATTAATTTCACGTATTAAAGTCTTCGTAGTAAAACTACTGAATTGAGTACGTTAGACTAAATATAAACTATCCTTATATACAATCATTAATAGTAATAGTCACAACAGAAAACATAACACGGACTAAAGCTCGAGACGCGACACAGCAACGGTGTCCAGGATTTCCTTCGAAGCTTGGGTCTACTTTAAATTCTCGTAGAAGAATTTGTTCAGCTTGAACCAATAGCTGAATACCATTAAACCCAGCCCGGTCGTCTATGTATTGTTAGCTGCATGTATGAGATGGCCGGCAAGATGGCCGAATGCTGAAACAGAGATAAGATGGCATTTGTCAAACGCAGGCAGTACACCCACTCACAAATTAATCAAACATGTATTTCTCTATGCGCTCTACTGATAAGTACCACGATGGTGTTCATGTTACCAATTGTATTCTAATTGCATAGCATTTGGGTTTTTTTTTGATTCGTGCTCTTACTGCTAGCTTATACGATTTTATAAAAAATACCAATATTTATGGAAAATAAGGAGTGACATTAAACATTTAGGTGGTTTCTTGTTGAGAGCAGCAAGTGACCAAAAGTATGACTAAAACCTACTAGGATCATTTGTAAATTAGGTTGTTTTTTTTTTTCAATGAGAATGTCAAAGGTGAAAGCTAGTCAGTGTGTACACCTAGAATACCTAGTGTGTCACTGTAGTGTTACTGAGAGGATGCTAGTAACGTACTCTTCAATTAAGACTACTTTTAAAGTTGATTCTTCCAATGGTCACGATTAACCCAGTAAAAGCTGTCATATTAGAAATGCTGTGTTCGAAGTTTCACAAGCAGGGCCACGTCAAGAACGGGTTTTCTCAAAATGAAAGAACGTACTGATTAAATATAATTCGGTTATTAAACCCAACAGTTTGATTCGAGCGAAATTCGAGCGCTAGGCTAGTTGCGGAACGCAGTCGTAAATTGTACCCACTGTAGAAAAACATGCGATCAACCGCTGCAGACACTCGGCGATAAATATTCCTTGATGATCTCTAATGTCTTGCTCACAGCCTTACTACAGTATAGCACTTAACTAGAGGCTGGCCATGTCCTAATAAAAGCCTGTACAGGTTGCTCTTATTCGTTCGCACAGGGCGGTCGCCACGCGCGAGCAGACACATTGAAAATTTGTCTTTCTCGTGACGAAGCTTCATTCTGTTTAGACTAATGCCAATCACTTGTCACATCGCTGCTATTTCCTATGGCAGAAATGCTCCGAAGTAACTGCGTGCAAGGTAACATGATTTCATGATCATTTCTACAGTGTTCCGAAGGAGCAAATATCATAAACACGAAAAAATTAAAGACAGAGAGAGAGAGAGAGAGACTCAATAAAGTCGTTTACGATTAGAGGCGGTTCTCGCTTTTTTTTCCCGTTAGCTTAGTTTTTATAGGGTGCCACAAAGGTACACAAATGTCGAAAATCACAAGTCTCATTCCAATGACGCTTTGTTGCTCCACTCACTGTCTTGCCCTCTTCCGCCCGTTTGTTTTTTCCGGGTGGTTACGACGCCGACTGTTACGAGTGCCCCGTTCGGTTACGCCAACCGTTTGCTTTTGCAAATCTTCTACTTAAAGCAAAGCTTGAACAAAGGCGATCGCAGATGCAAGTAATAAAGTCAGCGACCTCAGTTCAGGGCGTCTTCAGTACTGCTGTTGTCGCTGCTGCTTTTTCTTAGCCGTTGCTTCGGTGCTGACTCGGTAACGCGGAATACCCGTGAAAATAGCGAGTGCACAAGACGCCCACAAGAAGCTAATAAGCATGCATAAGGGTAGCTGCGGGTCTCCAATCTTTACGAAATAGAGTAAGTGCAAACGTGTTAGGCGGGCATACAGTGCCAGAAACAGGGAGGCAACGAAAAGGGGAAAGTTATGAACGTATAATATTGGCACGCAGAATTGGTCAACAGTAGGTATACGTTAGAATAAAGAAAAAGTCCGATGTATGTAGTCGACTCATATGCAGCGTCGATTCTAAGCAATTGCGGTCGTCTGCCACCTTTTTAAAATGTAAACAACAATGAAGTTTAACAATCAGTTTTTAGTTCAGGCATTGGCTGTTAGCAAAATGCGGAAAACGTCTCTTTTTGTTTACCAACCACGGGCTTTTGCCATCGGCTATTTTAAAAAGAGAAAACCGTTTTTCTTTTTTTTTATTAAAGCCTACCATTTCAATTAAGTTCAATTGGCCGTTATGGTTGTTGCCTATAACCGTGCACGGAATATGGCGTCACCACGACGGGACCACGTGTCACAAAAAAGAGGGCAAAAGGAAGGGATACACCATCTTCACTCACAATTTTTTCGGGCTATCTGACCTGCAATGGAAAAATACGTCGATTGATGGGGGCGTAAATGCAGCCAACCAACAAAGAAATAATTACATGGCACGACATCTCCAAAAAGCGTTCTCTGTTTCTCAAAGAACTCCTGCTTGTCTTTTCATAGAGTACTTATAGACGTGAGCACAAATGGACGATTTTTGGAAATTATAAAATCACTCCTTTCTAGGTCCTTTCATTGAATATACCCGTTCAGTTTTTGAATTCATTTTTCCAAACCTGGCTAATATTCAGCAGAAGCAGATTTACCATAGATATACTCTAAACAGCAGCTATTCTCCATGTGAGCTACATCTACTTGGTTTTTTACTGTTTTTTCCAATCACCGTTGACTAATGACACTTAGGAAAAATGGAACACATTCATATGACCAGATTGGGTCACTGTTTGTATATAAATTGTTTATTTTCCTATTTCTAATAATATCGATATATATATATA